TTTGTGCTCAATCTCAGCACCCAGTTGAATGTCATACTACAAGAAGGCTGTGCTCTCCGAGCTTGGAGCACTTCCATGTCTTCACAAGCAAATTGTCTCCACATACCTGTGCATTAATTCTCTGCCATTTGGTATGAAATGAGCAGCTGCAGCTCCTTGCACCAGAGAAAAGGCCAAGCATGCTGCATCGCTGCAGAGCCACACCCCTGGCTAAAGGAGCAGCACAGAATTTGGCAGGGTCAGTTGGACAGTGGAAACTGGAGGAGGCAAAACTTGGGAGTAGACGGGAGGTTAGCTTACCAAGAGGTAGCTCTGAATATTGTGCAGGGGAGCTATTCTGTTTCTTCTCAAGCTCTGGCCAAAGGTGAAGGGGGTCAAAGCTGCTTTTTCCACACTGGTGATGATCAGTCCCCAGATGCAGTCACGTCTACCAAGGCCCTTGAGGGACTGCATGCTGTTAGTGACCTGTAGACTCCCTCTGCTCCCACACATCAGTAAAATACATATGAAAGAAATGGTGGCTATCCCCCTGCAAAGAAGAGGATGTCTGTCACCAGTGGTTTTGTTTTAGCAAAGGGACTTCCACGAGGGATGGAGGAATCTTTCCCAGTGGGCAATAAAGACCCTCCAGCTGTGTGGTTTCTGGGCCTGTGTGCAGCTGGCTTTTTAAACCAAACCAGTATTGTGAGTTCTGGCATTTCTTTGGACTGCCTTAAGGCTGTTCTAATGCCAGCAAGCTCCCTTTGCCAGGCTCCTTTGCCAAGTCTTGTGTCCTCCACTCAGGGCTCTGGTCTCCCGTGGGCTGGCAGAAGGGTGACTAGGAAGTACACTGGCGTGTAGGCCTCTGAGGGTGCAAATAAAAAACCTCGTTAGCTTGCAGGCTAGCTTTTATGAACAGGTACTTTCTGTTTACCCAGTTGCCTCCAGCTCCTCCTGATTTTAATTTGCTTTTATTTTTCCTTTTATTTTTGATGCACTGAACCTTGATTCTGAATCCCCCTTCAAGAAGGCAAGCATGAACCACCATGCTGTGTGCTTCCCTGCTGCAGGGTAAACGTGGAGGGATGATGTTGGGAAGGGGGGTGAGGAAGGTCTTGCTGAAGGGAATGGTTATGTATATTAATTGCACAATGTATTGTTACGAGGCTGTGTATCATTTTGTGTTGACTTCTCTGCTTTCCTTGTCTCTATTACCAATACAGCCCCTTTAGTTCACAACAGCGCTTGTTTGCTTTGTTTCCCACAAAATTCTGGCCAGTGGTGTGTGTTAACGTAGAGACAGAGAAATGCCTTGCACAGGTCAGTTTTCAAGGCTTTTAAAGGCTTTCCTGGCAAGTTAGATCCTGCTCAGGGCTACTGTGTGTATGTCAGTGGATTAGAATGAGAGGGGACTACAGGGGCTGTCTCCAGCACTCCTCTGCAGCACACCAGGCTGCTTTTCCACTCAAAAGAAGCAAACACTCTATTCCAGGCCACAACAGACCAACAACCCACTGTTGAGACCTCGCTGACCAGGGACGTGAAGTGTAACCCCGTCTAGGCTTAGTATAGTGCAACGTGTGCTGGCAGGAAGAGGGCTGAGAGACATGTTACAAAATAGGAAAAAAAGAAAAGCAAGAAGTTACAAGGTCAAATTATTTTATTTGAAGCCCTGCAGAGTCACTTCTATCCCTGGGAGTTGATAGTAAATTCTCTTCTGCAACTGTTGATTCTCAGGGGCACAGAATGACTGCCAAGCTCTGATGCATTGGAGAGGTGGGTGGATCTTCTCAAAGCCCAAGCACCCAGATCTCCATTTGGATGCTACCTGCTTGCAGAAAAAGAGATACCTACCTCCTGTCAGTTTTTGTGGAGGCAGGATTCCTTTGGTCCTTGAAGTCAATGCAGAGGAGGAAATCTCTTTGTTTAGCTCAGCTCTGGGGACACATAGAGTCTTTAGGTCACAATACCCAAGTTACTCTTTGATTCAAAGAGCTTGGTGTCCCTTCAGCTTGTAGCTGAGTCACAGGAACCAAGAAGGTGGCATGTATTCGGCCTGGGTTGGACAGAGAGCGCTTGTCTGCATCCACAGAGGTCCTGTGTGGGAGAAAGTATCGCCTTCCTGCCTCAGGCTGGATGGTCTCAACTGCATATTGGGTAAGACACCACCTTGAGCTCTGCTTGACCCTATTTCCAATCGCAAGTGTGCTGTGATTTCTCGTTTGTCTCCTGTCCTCCTCAATTCTCAGAGAAAAAGCTTCCCTTCAACAAGGCTTGGAGAGGATAAACCAGAAGAGCAATTTGAAACGCTGATCGTCACCCTTGGGGAAGGCACAGTGGGGAGAGGAGGAAGAGTTCCTTGCAGGAGAGTGATTTGGTCAGCAGGGAGAATTCTCGAGTGCAATCATATCGTCCAGCAGGCGTAAATAAGAGCAATCAGCAACGCCATGGCCACAGCAAGGGTGGCATTCTTGCGATTTTCCTTACGAAGCACGCTCAGTTCTTTCTCTGGGAAACAAACAAAAGCCTTTGCCTGTGAACATTCTCCGTTTTGCAGCTACATCTCCTTTGAAAACTGTCCTAAAAGCCCAATGCTACCTTGGCCACAGGCAACTCTTACGGGATCAGTATGCAAAGCTGCTAGTTATAGGATGTGCTGAACAGGAAGTGAACTAGCAGGAACCCTTTCACCAGCTAACTCCCATCCTGTCAGTCTCAGTAGCTGTGCTTGGGAACACTTCAGTGCCAGACCAGTTCCTGTTTGCAGATGATGTTCTAGGACCCTACTAAGGACAGAATAGGTCATTAGAATAACTGCTTAATTAAGAAGAGTGAGGGTTGACAGCTATTTTTACTATCTTCTAGAGGTAACAGCCTGGTATCTTTTCCTAGTGCTTAAATTTACTTAAATACACCTGTGGCCACCTTTGAATGTTGCTGAATCAGGGTTTCCTTGTGCCCCTGAAGGATGAGTGTGCCTGGGACACTCATTCTATTGGGGTCTGCAGCTTTGTAGAGATAGGTCACTCTCCCTGGCCCTGGTTTACAAAAGAAGAAACAGGTGCAGAGAGGAAGGCAGTGGCTATCGAAAGTATGGAGTCCTGCTGCTCTCCATTTCTGTTCCATTCCCTTTACAAAAGATGAGAACCCCATTCTCACTAGTTCTGTTCCACAAACCTTTGTTGCTATCAAAATAAACTTCTAGCTCTTCTTTCTGCCCCCGTTTTTCATGTGGTACAAGCATTCTCCTTCAACAGCAGAGCAAACTGTTACAATTGGCAAGGCTACAGAGGAGGCGGGCAGGGGCAGGAGGTCACATAACCCCCAGCACAGCAGTGTCAGCTTCAGCTGCTCAAGTGATGCCACTGTCAGCAGCTGCAGCTCATGGCCTCCAGTGTGGCAGCTGGAATAAGCATCAGAGGCCACAGCAGTGATCTAAAGAGGCTGTGTGCACTGTCTCTTCTGCTCCAGGAGGAGCAGCCATCACCATTAGGTGAGGCTGTTGCTGCTGTCTGAGCAGCCTGCCACACTGCGCTCGCTGGTGGTGACAGCTGACTGCTGGTAAAACGGTGGCAGGGACCTGCAGGGTCTGCTGCTGTCTCTAGTGGTAGGCCCTTAGGGAACAGCTTTGAATCTGTTTAAAATAACTGTTAGTCTTCTGGAAACAGTCCTTTAACGTGAGTTAAAACTATAAATTTGCTGGCTGTGTCTCAGCTTTCGGCTCTCCAGGCCTAGCACAACACTTCTGCCTCCTTCCCCTGTGTGAGCTCTGTGCTTCCACTGCTGCGGAGTGCCTTGAGTAGTTAACACACTGATCAACACCAGAAGCCTGAGGACATGCAAAGCAGCATCCCCAGCAGAATGGATGTGCTGTCAAACCTGCTGTAGCTCAGAGGGACTCTCATTTTAGCTGTTTACAGCAGGACATGCAGCAAGGAAAGACCCTGGCTCCCTGGAATTGCAGACAGCACATCGGTGTGAATCCCTCTGCTCGTGTGCTGAGCAGCCCCGGAAACTGATGCAGTGAGAACCTTCCCCAGGGAAAGTATACTTCACTACACTCCAGATAGCACTTGCAAGCTTGCTTCCCAAGCCTCTATTAAAAAAAGGAGGGGAGAGGAGGTTGTTAAAAGCTACTCAAGTCAATCTGTTGGCTAAGATTATCTAAAGACTGGTAATTTGGGGTATGGGAAAGCTGCATCTTTCCCCCCTCATTATCTGATGCTTATTTTTTTTCTCTACAGTAGCACAGCTTAAGTGTGAGGATCTAGACTCCTATTATAATATGCTAACCCGATTTCCCTCAGTCTAGCTCTGTTCAGTTGAGCCTAAATTCAAAGGCAGAAGTCAGAGGTGGCAGGAGCTTGAAGACGAAGCTAAGCTGCAACACGGATCCCATCTAGCCCAGAGGGACCATTTTTAATGAAGCTCTTACCATAGTTGTCAGCTTTGGTCATTAGTAAGTTTCTCTCTCTCTCCAGTGACTTTCTGTAATGAGAAGAGGAGTTCATTACCTGCGAGGCACAACACAGACTTTTTCTTTGCTTATATACTGGAAGAGAGACTGTCCCACTGCTGGGGATATCTGCTCACAGAATGAGCCCCCTCACCCTTCACTGTGGAAAGGTGACAGTTTAGAAACCCCCAACTGTGCAAGAGAAGAGATGCAGCAGTTTTAGATTACTTTTTCCTTCCCCCAAACTACTTCATACCTCTCCTTTCAGGACAGTGTCAGTGTACGTGAGCAGGCTAGAAAGGGGTCTGTGTGTCAGAGAGCCCCCTACTCTGTTCCCCCACGGGGTTAGGAAGCTCTGCCACAGCTCTGGGGTGGGGCAGGGTCCCCACACACTCTCTGCAGGATCCTGCCCCTCCAGTACATCTGTCTCAGTGCTGGAACAGTAATTCCTCCCACAGACTGGATCTGGGATCCCTTTGTCAGAGGCATCCCACTTACACAAATGGATGAACTCAAGGAAACAAGCTGAATCCAAGCCCAGTAACAACCAGTTAAATATCCTGTTATTAGACTGAGGACTCAATAACAACAAAGAGCAAGTCAGGCCAACCCAGCCCTTGTCTTACTGCACAAGATGATTAATTAATATACAATTTAAAATATAAAAGCAAAACAAATTGCCTGGAAGCAGCAGCATTGCCGTTACGGCAGCGAGGACATGGTCACTCCTTTCAGACTGTGGGCAGATAAATAAACATGCGCTAACAAATCACCTCCTGGTTCAGAGCAGACCGAGGAGGCAGTAAGTGTAACAGAGTCTGTTGATCCCCTTGGGGCACAGCAAGAACCTGTAGGAGGAAAGAGATCCAAATCCATGTGTACAGCTAGTTAAGTAAGGGATGGCAAGAAAGCAAGCTACAGCAGAGCTGCAGGAGAGGAACACGCTCTTAAAGGCAACTGGGGAAGGGCAGCATGGAGAGCAGCCAGAAAGAAGCGAGAAGATAAATTTATCAACCTGACTGAGCTGCTATTTACAAACTTGCCTTGTGAGGAGAGTCAAGGGAAGAGGCTTTGAGAAGGAGACATGAAGAAACCATGACAACTGAACTTCAAAATGGTAAAGCAGAGCTCTCCTTTATGGACTACTCACTGAATCAGTAATTTACATCATGGTACCATCCTCCAGGGTTTTTTTTGAATGGTCTGGATTAGGGCAACAGAATTTCTGTTTCCATCTCCATACAAGTTTTAAAAGTCAGAAAAGGCCCCAGGAATCTATAATCCTAATTTTTTGCTCTAAGCCCTATATTTCAGAGAGAAATCACACAGATATATTGCATCCTGTCACATTACCACAACTGTAGGTTTGGTTGTTTGCCACCTCAGTAGCAAATAAAGAACAGAGACAGTAAACATAAGAATAATAATTTAGGCCAAGATGAAGGACTGGTGAGATGAAGAGCTAGAGAGATGAGGGATAGGAGGAAACAGGACCCTGTCCAAATATTGATGGGCATATAAAACGCCAGTAAAGAACGAGGAAAGAGAAAAGAGAGGCTGGCTCAAGGAATGGCAGAGAGAGCAAAATAACAGAGTGGAAAGGAGGAACAAGGAAGATAACCTGAGGCTTGTAAATATTGTGGTGTGAAGATGCCACCACTGCTAGGGATCACTTCTAATGGGGTTCTGTAGGGTAGTACTGTAGAGCAGACACTAGGACCAACAAGACCACTCCCTGGGCCTACGATTGAGCTTCCCAGACTTTCTGCTAGGAGCAGAGCAATATGATGCTGGTGACTGGAAGAACGTCCGCAAGCAGACAGATCTGAGAATCAGCTGGAATATCCATGATCTCTTGCTTCACACTCTAGAAAGACAGCAGGTTCTGCCTGTGTCTGCTACAAAATCCAGGGCAAAGTCCTTCCTTGAGCCTCTGCTCTAGAAGCCTACAGTTGCCTCTTCTATGTGAGTGACAGCTTTCAAAGGAATTGTCCCTCTTCCCTTTCCCAGGGAAAGCCAGTGTGTCACAGCATCCCTACATCCAGACACATTTGCAACACAGGCACAGACACACATAACTTCCCTCAGTCCCTTTCCCAGTGGCATCCCAGCCTGGTCTGGCCCTCAGCAGTAGTTGCTGCACATTTCCCCTGACTGAATTCAGGCAGCTTCAGCAAGGCTTGAGTAGCAGCGTGCAGTGAACCTTTGCCAGACTCACAGAGCTGTTTCCTAGCAGGCCAGGAGCCAGCCCTGCAAAGGAACTGGCAAGTTTCAGGCATTGCTTGGCTGGTTGTGGTGCAGGTTGGAGACTGAGGCCGTTGATAAGGATAAAGTTCTCTCCATGTATAACTGAACTTCTCACCCTGGCAAGTTCCCCAAGTAAGCTCCAAGCTGGGGGAAGAGTTTTGTCATGGGGAACCACATTCCCATCACTTGAAGAGCCCTTGCTCGGCACTACAGCAGGATGACAGCTAACTGAAGTGCACAGACACTGCTGTGAAAGGAGGTGGTCATCAATACCTTCCTTCAGGGCTGAGCTTCTCCCTGCGCAGTTTAAGATCCACCTCCTCCATACTCTGTCTGCAGCGCGCCAGCTTCTCCTCCAATCCATCAATCTGAAAAACACCACACCAGTCACGTCATTTCCTCTCCCAGCAAACATGGATCCATCGTCCCCGAGATGAGAAGGGTGGCAGCTCAGCCACTCTACCCCCTTCCTCCCCAAATCAAGTGCGGAACAGCCCCAGCTCTGTGCAGAGATCGCAGCACAGAGAGCCCACCCCCTCTCAGATCAGGCTGTGGTATACCCCAGGCAACTGGGACATTGTAATCCCAGACACAGCCAAGCCAGCTCAAACACTCCCACTTGGGTGGCTGGCCAGATCTGATCCTGTTCCAACCTGTTCCAGTTTCTTTGCGTGTGGCTCCACAAGCAAAGATGTGATCTAAGGCATCTTTAAGCAATTAAAAGAGGACAAAATGAGAGGAGACTGGCCTTGGCCAAAGCTTGAGAGACAAGGTCTTGAGGTTTTCCTAACAGCCACCTCCCTGTGTCTTCCTTCCTGTGGAGGAGAGTAACTGTAGATAGGTCCAAGAGGGTTTATCTATTTGTGTGCAAATGGATTGCCCAGGATGGAATCCTACCACAGACAACAGTTCTCCTGGGAATCATTCCTCTTTTCTGCCTGGCAACCAGAGCATAGACATCGTTAGGAAAACTGTGTCTTTCAGGCTTGCTTCCAGCAGGGAAACAGTGGGACTAATCAGATAATATGAACACAGCCTGAAAGAAAATGGCCTCGGTGCCCTGAGGCGGCAGTGACCTCTCTTTTTAGCTACTTAGCGTGACACTCCTGCTGCGCCTGGTTCTCCAAGCACGGCTAAGGCCAGCTAGAGGGCTGGCAGCACAGCTCTTCTGGGGTGGCAGCCTGCACAAACCAGAAGCTAAGAGGCAGCACAGTCCCGGGTAAAGCAGCAAGGTGGAATGAGACACCAGCTGCTGGGACATCAGCCTCAGAGGTGGCCCAGAGCACAAACACCTGATATGGGAAACAAAATCAAAGGCAGTGATCCCTAATTATTGCTGCTTTGGGGATGAGCGCCGTCCTGAGCTCATTAGCAATCTCACACCTTCTGCTCAGAGAAGGCAGGCAAGCATTATAAATAAGCACGATGGGAGAAGAGGCTCGACGTAAAAGGGGAGAACAAAGCAGACTGCAAAAAGGAGTTTAGCCAGTCAGCTGAACAGTCTCCCTGCAAGGAAGCACAGTGCAGCTGGGGAGGGGGCCACATGTAACACGGCTCAAATAAATCTCTGCATCTTACCAGACAGCAATTTCAAAGTCCCTTGTTATTAGGCAACTCTGCCAAGGCTATTGAGATGCCAAGCGCCCCAGAGGCACCTGCACAGCTTCCCCTGAGCCCATGGGGAGCACCAAGTGCAGCAGAGTGGAGGTGGCATGGCCACCCCATCCAATTTAAGAACAACCGTCTCCTTCACCAGTTCCTACCATTTGCAAATGTCTGTGTCTCTGCTCCCCTATCTGCTGGAAACCCTCACACACAGCAAGAGGTACTTCAGCATGTGCCACCTGCCTCCTCCTTAGTCAGTGAACTTACTACAATGCACCATGCCTTCTCTGGAAACGTTTAAAAATCATGTTAAATAATAAAATTTTATAAGAGCTTTGGTTAGTCAGGTGCCAACCCCACCACTAAATTATCCACGTCATTGCACTTCCTATCCCCTCCTCTGGAACTGGTACTCCTGCTCAGTTTGCAGTTGCTCTCACTATTACATTCTCTGCCCATGCTTCCATCATTTCATGAGACATAACAAGAGGATATTCTGCCCAACTCTGCCAATGCTTTTACTTTCTGCTGACTAAAAATCTCCAGATTCCATATAATACTTTAAAACTGTTTTTACTGCTCTCAAATCAAAAAGAAAGTTTGGGTCCCCTGCTGGAGAGCAATAATTTGCTAATAAACCACATGCCCTAGAACTGCACCATCAGCTTTGTTGTGCTGGGGGCACAAGGGACAGAAAATAATAATAAAAAAAAGCAAGGAAGAAGGAACAGATTGCTGAATGAACAAAATATTTTTCCTTCAGAATCTCACTATTTCTTTTCTTCAGGCTACTCCAGGGCAGTAGGGGTTGTAAGGAAGCACGAGTGTGACGACTCCTAGGTGTTATCCATTTACTGTCCCTCAGTTTCCCTACTTTTAAATTAGGACAATACTTTCTGTCTCCCAGAGGTGGTTAATTTACACAAGGAGCCTCACACACCAACCCAAACTACAGGCAGAGGACTATCGTGATATGTCAGTTCCTCACTTGGGATTTGTTCCTGCAAGCCAGGAGTCTCTCGGCAGCTCAGCCATCCAAGTAACTCTTCACTGTAGAGCAAAGGAAAGAGAGAAATAGAAAATAAGCACAAGGAGAAATCAGAGTAATGCCTGGGAATTACTGATGACTCTCTGGGCTGCTGAGGAAACTCCCACGGGGCTGTAGCCCGTAAAGCTGTAGCACAAGACAACCTGAGTTTTAACTTCAGCATAATTCCCCATAGCAGCTCTCCAGGAGAGCAATCCTAGAAGTAGGTGCACACCTGAACTACTTGTGAGCGGAAAGCTTTCCCTCCCACTAATCCAAGAGAAGATGAGTTGGGGTACAAAGTTAGGCCTGCTGGAAGCTTGCATGAAAATGAAGAATCAAGCTCGCTTAGCTGAACCATCACTGCACTTCACACTGGCTTATCTTTTAGGGGCAATCTCAGCCCAGTGGATTATAAATTGCAAAGACAAACCCTTGCACCTTCTGGCTCTCCACAAAGAGGATCCTTGGGGACAAAGCTGAAGTGCAGCATGCAGAAAGCTCACAGGACAACTCCTCAGGTTCCCATGGCCCATAGCAGGGACATCTTTAGGTGGTGCCAGTTCAAAGGGGCAAGTGAAACCGGTGCTTCACATCCAGGCAGCAGCTTGGGGCGCACAGAGCTGCCCTGCCTTCTGCTCCCCAAGAGCCACTCCAGAAAGTCAAGTCCCAGCAGCTTTGGATTCACACAGGGATGTAAAACCAGATGCCTCCCTTGCTCCACAAGGTACGACAAGGCAATGAGCCATTTCCCTTGAATTCTGGCAACACGTGCTTGCAATCTGGAGACCTTTTTAAACCAGAGGGAGCTGGAGCGGATTTCAATCCAAAGTGACTTACATGCTTATTACAAATCTCATTTGTTGGGACCATCTTGGGCAGGGAGCCTGAAATGGCTCACATAAAGGCAGAGACAAAGCGAGGAGAGAGAAGGGAGCAGCTTTGCTTACAGAGTTGAGCTGGATCCCTTTTAATACATTTTGTAATGAATTAATAAAAGCTTTCTTTCCAGCAGAAAGGCTAAAAGCGCTTTTCAAGAACTGGCATCCACTCTCCGCTTTTATGAATTCCCTAATTAAGATACTGGCAAAGAGCCATATCACACATACGTCGACATCCAACAGCGTTAGGTAATGAGGTTTTCGTCTTCTGACCCTCATAAAACAGATCAAAGCCAACTGGAAGAGGTGGAGGCAAAGAAAAAAAAACCCTTCCCTGAGCAGTCTTCTCATGCCTTGTCACCTGCCAGCGCACTTGAGCAGTTCTTTTCACAAGAAGAATTATGTGGTTCCTGCATCCACAAATTTGGCTGGATTATTAAAATAAATCCAGCAGAGATGAGTTTTGTTTAAATTCAAATGCTAACTTGCAGTTTATGGACACACTTCCATTTTCACCACGCTCTTAGAGTAATTTCACATGCTGGCAAATCATTTCGCAGATGCTGTGCCCACAGCGTGCTTGGAAATATTTACCAGGCAAACTACTACACAATAGAGGATGATCCACCAGCCAAGTCTAAAATAAATCCTTCAGATCGACCCTCTGTGTTGGTAAAGGAGAAAGGGCTGGACCCTACCTGCATTTCCTCCTTCAGCCTTGCAGACTATCCAGTTAGTCCTCCCGCTCTGCCTCAGCTCAGACCAGCAGCTTTGCAGGATAGCACACAGATGTGACCACACGGCACCACCCACAGCTTTTTGAAAAATCCTCTAAGAAGAGCTTTACTGAGTAAAGACCATGTTGGCCTTTTCCTTATTCTTTATGCTCTCCCACAGACACTGATCAGTCACTGCCTCGTCAGAAGCAGGAATACACGTTACAATACTTTCTCCAAACATACACTCGACATTTTGCAGCACAGGGTGTTCTCTTTGCATTTAATAGCCCCATTGTTTTTGCTTCCATTATTTTTTTCAGTTGTTTTCTGAGCCACAGGTGTATTTTTAAGGGCTACAACATCCTGTGGCATCGAATTTCACAGCAAAGCCATGGATTATGGGAAAAACTAACCCCTCCTGTTTTTTCTGACCTTGTCAGCTGCTGGTTTTATTCGACAGACCTACTTTTGTATTGACAGTGAATGTTCATTCTTTGTTTAAAACTACAAATAGCTTACAGAGGATACAGGCCTATTCTGGACCCCCTTACAGTCAAGTTTTAAAGCTTAAAAGAACCTGGTATGCTTAGTTGTTTCTTGCATAGAAGTTTTCGACACCTTTGATCATCCATGTCACTCTCTTAAGCTCTGTTTTCACTACATTGCTACAAAATGGAACAGTCTTTCCAGTTTAATTTTCGTGATGATTTTCATCAAGAAAGTTCTGTGCAGCTCAGCATTGTCAATGGGGCTGCCTGTCAAAAGAGTACAGAGCTATACGAAAGAAGTGGCATGAATTTAAACCACCACCACATTACGGAGTCACATTTATATCAGTTTAAACCGGGTCATATCAATTACACCTGCAAGTTGTAAGTGCAGGCTAATCTCATAAGTGTCTATACAGAAAATTGCGTTCATTTAGCATCATGACTTCAGTTAAACAAGCATGGCTCCGCCTAGATCAGGCCTTTCAAAGCTAGCCGTGCATCATGTCGTATTAGACTCATTTTGAATGTTTTCTTTACAATCATAACAGCTCAGAAGGTAATACTGAATTGAATTAAAGTTTAAATTATGAAATCAATATCTTGGTTCTCACACATTTCTGAGACCTGAAACACAGCCCTCTCTTCCTCTGCCTTAAAGCGATTTTGTTGTCTTCCTCCCTACCTTCTATTCAGTACCCTTCTCATCACTGCAAGGGGGAAGGACTTTATCTTTTAGTAGTATCTCTGCAGTGATAGGTTGAGTTTTCATCTATAGCAGACCGAAGAAGAGTAGTTCTACAATCCCTTCAAAAGCAGTGTATTCTATCAGGACAACTTCTAAAAAAGAAAAAAAATCTAAAGATAGCCCAAGCCCCCAAACATTTTGCAAGAATTTGCTGTGGTAGCTAAAATCAATCCCTTTTCATCCTGTAACCAGGTCCCAGGCAGGCTCACCCTTCTTACCACCTCACTTTCTGTAAGGTAGATCCTACCATCTCAGCTCTCCTTGTCTGTCACACCTCAACCAACAATCACCAAAAATTCATTAGTTCAACTCTCCCCACGAGGCTCATTGAAGAGAAGCTTGGACAGTCAGCACACTCCCCTCTGGACTCACTTTGGTGGTTCTGTTTGGGTTAGAGCACCCAGAAATGTCAGTTTCTCTAATGAAAGCCTAACTGGATGAAATAGACCAGAAAACTACCACAAACTGAACTCCCATTCCTATGACACAGTACAGCTTTACATTACTGGCGGATGAAGCATACATGACAAGCCCCAAGGCCTTCCCTTGGCCTTTCGACCCCGGGCTGTTGTACGTACGCTCATCTGAAAGCCTTCAGCACAGAGAAGTGACCAGCGAGATTCACCGGATCGACTCTGCCCCATTTCAGCCATTTGCCACCAAGGTTCAAGCTTCTGCTGTCCCCAAAGCATCCACAACCCACAGCCTCCCCGCTGCCTCCTCCAAATCAGAGCAGACAGCACCGTTCCGTGCAGGAGCCAGGACCAAGTATGCTTCAGAGACATCTTAACTAACACGCCTCAGTTTGTTAATACAAATATAAATCTTAAACAAAGCCTACCAGCAGCTCAAAGGCTCAGCGGGAGCAAGAGCACCAAACAGTATCCCTGAGTCGAAGGGCACTTCAGCCTCCACCGACAGCCTCGCGCAGCAAGATGGCGGCTGGGCCTGGCCTCAGCGCAGCGCGGCCTGGTCAGGGCAGTGCTCCCGAGCCCCCGCTGCCCC